CACTGAAGACCACAGTGTTATTAGTTTCTGTCTAAACTGATGTATATTTCAGATTCTAAATATCTGAGCCAATTTCTTTCTTACTACAGCTTCAGTGAAAGATCTGATGCATCTGACTTGTAACAAGACACTGAGCAGTGCTTAAACAATACAACATAGTGTGTTGCTTTGCAGCATAAAGGTTTAAATTAAAATGTTAAACTGCAGAATTTTTTATTGCTTGAGGCAGTATCCAGAGAGATCATCATAGTTATTATGGCCACTGTTGTGGTAGAAATAGGCCATAATGTTGAAGGCTATGTGATGATAGCTCTGGGTACAATAAGTGATGCCTTTGTCCTTGCAGTTGTCAGCTTACTGGGCTGATTCATCACTCTGTAGAGTGCTTGGAGGTCATGCAGAGGATAACAGGAGTAATCTGTTACCTGCTGTTGTTTGCTTTTGGGTCCTATGTTTCACAGATGCAGAATGGTTGAGGTTGGAAGGAACCCCTGAGACTGAGTAGTCCAACTTCCCTTCTTGATGCAGGGTGAGATAAAGCAGGTTACCTAGAGATGTTATCCACTCCTATTTCAAATATCTGGAAATAGAGACTCCATAAAATTTCTGGGCAACTTATTCCAGTGTTCAGTTACCCTTAATGCAAGTAAGCTTTCTCTTGTGTTTTAATGGAATTTCTGGTCTTTCAGTCCAGGGAAAGTGCCTTGTACTTGCCTGTTGTCCTTTCATTGGATACCCCTGTCCAAATCTGTCCCCTTTTCATTCATCCATAACATATCAACACTGATAAGATTCTTCCTGAGCCTCCTCTTCTCCCAGCTAAGCAATCCCAATTGCCTCAGCCTCCTCTTGTATGTCAGATGCTCCAGTCCCTCAATCATCTCTGGCTGTTTGCTGGACTCACTTCTGTAACTCATGTCTGTCTAGTGCTGGAGAGTGCTGCATTGGACCTGGTCCTGCAGAAGTGTCTCTCCAGTGCTCAGTAATGAGGAAGAATCACCCCTTTGATCTGTGGTTCCCAGTGCAGCCCAAGAAACTATTGGCCTTTCTTGTCACTGGGGACACGTTTCTAGCTTAGGCTCAGTATTTTGTACACCAGGACCCACAGGTTGTCTCCTGCAAAACCAGTTTCTGGCCTGTGCTGAAGCATGAGGTTGTTCTCCACAGAGGGAGTGCTTTGCATTCCTTTTTCTTGAACTTCAGGAGGTTCCTGTTGACCCAAATTTCCAGCCTGTCAAGACCTCTCTTCGGTGGCAGCCCAACTGTCCTGTATATCAATTGCTTCTCCCAGTCTTGCTGGAAGCTTGTTGATAGTGAGGCCTGTCCCATGATCCAGGTCATTAATGAGGACACAAAACACTATAAAACCATAGGTGAGTCACCCTAGTGACTGGCTGCCAGCTGGGCTTGGTACACTGATGACAACCCTCTAAGCCAGGCCACCTCACTGCCCACTCACAGTCTGTGCTTCCATCAGTCAGTGAAGATGGCATGGGTGACAGTACTGCAAACCTTATCAAAGTCAAGATAAGCAATATCCACTGCCCTCCTCCTCCAACAAGCCTGTCATCTCAGCACAGAAACCTGTCAGGCTGGTGAACTATGACTCCAGTATGAGGAGGTTCCATACATGGTGTTTGCCCATCTATTCCAAAAGATGGCTTTCTGTTACCTTGCTAAAATGCTTTCTAAAATTAGAATCATGACATGTAGGCCACTGATAGAAATTTAATAAAGCTACTACTAATTAACATCTAATACATATTGGTCATGCTGAAGTAGATCTTGCTGATGCTGCTGCCAGGCAGCCTATATATAGTACAGGACGTGCAAATGTGTGTGGGTCTGTGTAATACAGTGTGTTGTGTAGAAGATGTGGAGATCAGAGTCCCAAATCTGCCACAGAATAATGGCAGAACTGATTCCTATCTGAATTTGCCCACAGGTACCTCTGCTGACCCTGGAGCTATTTTTAGAATTTAGTATTTAGTATTTTTAGTATCTGATAAATCCACCAGATAATGTCATCTTTGTCTCCAATGAGGCTGATACTTGGTATTTCTTTTCACATGAATCTCTGAATCTCAGGCAAATTCCTACCTATTGTAGGAATTTGTACCACAAAGTATGAATATTTTTTGTAATGAATCTGGGCTTGAGTGAGTCTGCCTTTTCCAGTCTTGCATTGTGGTGATATAAAACACCTGCTTGGCAACAGCTCTGGGAGTTAATAAAGTTTCTGTGGTAAACTATGAGAGGCCTGAGAATCTCAAACTAAAGTTATTGCACCAGTAACTCAAAAAAGCAATTCCTAAAACTCCTGGCACATTTATCCAGAGGGTTAGCAGTAGCACAGAAATGGAAATCATTGTTGAGAGCCACTGCGTACTTGGAATTAAAATCCATCAGTCTTCTGAAGCTGAGGAAAACAATTTTCATGGCATACAGATGCTTTTGTATTTCATAATCAAAATTAATCTAGGGTTGGTTTTGGCTCTATTTGTAGGGAAATTCGTATCCACTAATCCTTATAATATACCTAAGCTGAGATGACATCAGAAGAAATAACTCGCACAGAAGCTAGGCATTTAAAATATTCTCAATGCTTTATTCTATTTAATTTCAGCAAAAGCAGATTTATCTCTTGGGGGAGTGGGACAGAAAAAGAGTGAGGATGCCAACATCCTCCTCTCGAGTGGGAGCCTAGAGCACAGACGGTGGAAAATGAGATGTGGAAATGAAAATAACTGTAAACAAAAAAATGAAATTCAGCAGTCTATTTTCACTCTTCTCAATGGAAAAAGGGGGAGGAGAACACCTAGTAAATCATTAGAAAACTGTGTTTGCTTTTCTGAGTTACACATTGAACTGTAATAGCTGCCAGCAGGGTCCTTTTGCAGCCTTTGCTTCAGACTCTTCTTTAGGTCCTTCACACACCTGTCTGCAGCTTCCTTGGCTGCTGGGAATTTTGTTTAGTTCAGTGGAGCATAATGACACCCCTGTGTCCGTGAGGAGACAAACAACATGTCTGCCTTTGGAACCAAGAAAAGCCTCCTAGCTTTTGTCACAGTGTGGGTTCTGCAATTTGGGATTGATCCGTGCTCATAGCAGGCACAAATGATGGTCAATTGGTGCAAATGTTATACACACATGCTTTTATTTTTCCTTTCAGAAGGGTGTCTTAACTTCCTAACATCCCAATTTTGGCACGCTTCTGGAGAAAGAGATTCTTGTAATGGATGCCAGATAAACTGTGTTTATCTGTATATTCTTGTGCTCAGAAGATCTGTTCCATAGGGTTCCTTTCCCTGAAAAAAATGTGTTCTTTTTCACAGCTCATGGACAAGCACAAACACGTATACAGGGAGGTGATGAGGGTACTTGACAAGGACATCTTTTTTTAAGAGCAATAAAAAATGTGGGGTTTTGTCAAAGGGCAATGAAAAATTTCTGACAACTAGAAATATTTACAGTCTTCCCCTAAAATGCTTAATATAGGTGTTTAAAAACAACTTAAGGAAACACAATAAGTTTTTGTTCTCATCTTTCAAAAGTTTCAGCTGGAGCTGCATTTCCTAATAACTTTGTTAGGCCCTGTTTGTTGGACTCCAGCTAACCACTTAGAGTGTGCTATAAAGAGACTTTTTCCTTGGCACTCTGAATTCTTCCTGTAACAGAAATGTGAAAAAATGAATTAGTAGTGGCTGAATGACCTTACAGAATCTCTTGTCTCTGATCATGTTTATGGTTAGTGAACAGGCCCTGATAAACTGGAGTGAAACAGGGGATGGGATCCACATCACTGCTGAGGTAATAAGTGCTTCTTGGGAAGCAGCCCTTCACAAATGGTGTTGAGTGGTTTTACTGGAAGCCTGTGCCCAAGGATGAAAGGGAGATAGGCCAGACCATGTTATTGTACAAGTATTTAATTCCTTAACGTTTTCCTTGCAGAATTCCAGTATATTGGCAAAAAGACAGATACTTGTATTTTTACTATCTACCTTTAGACATGTCTTGAGGGGTACAGAATTGGAATCAGAGATCTGGGAATAGTTCTTGTGCTCTCTGGCTGGAAGTTATTTCAGGTAAAGCAGCAGATCAGAGGGGAGGAGGTGGACATTAAAGACAGAAGGCATTGATGTCTTCTAGCATCTCAGGGAATAAATTAAGCTCATGCAGGCTTTTTTTCTCATTTACCCTTGGCAACAATAGATTAAGTTGAAGCACTCTTGAAGTGTGGATGTTAATCTCCAGGGCTGCTAATCTCTTCCTTGATTTACTTGCTGGGAATTTTTGTCATTTGGGAGGGAGGTAAGTAGGAAAAGAGGGACAGGAAGTGGAGGAGGAGAAATGGCATGTTTTAGATGTGGCACTTCATGCACAGATAGACGTTCCAGCCTGCTGCTTTAGAAGCAAAGTGTGTTATCTCAACCAGTGATGCAGTGCTGGGAATTACAGTTATTGTACAGCCCTGGAGACTGCCTTATTTCCTGAGTGACTAAGAGACTTTTTGGTGAAACTCAGGAATGATATTTAAAGGGGGTGTGCATGTGTGCTACAGATTTCATAACTTGCTTTGCACAGAGAGTTAAGCTTCCTTTAAACAGCAGACAGACATCTGGGGGCACAGAAGTGTGACAGAAGAGAGAAATAAGCTACTCTTCAGTTGGGTTTCCACATCTTAGCTGGGTGGAAACCTTGGTGCTTAGAATCTTGCTTTTGCAAAATCCATGGGAGAGAAAGGCCCTGACCATGGGCACTGTGAGGGAAGTGAGGATGGGGGTAGGAGGCACAGTGTGACCAGCCATAAGTGGAGCTGCTCCTTTGGGGGATTTGGTTCTTGTAAAGTAGGCTTCCTTACAGCTCTTCTCCTTTGTTCTTTCCTCTTGCTGTATGATGAGACCAGATGGGTGTTGCTTCAAAGGAGAGTTGGACACCTGGAGAAACCATTTCGGGTCTCATTGGAGTATATTCCTAATGGGAACAAGAGCGTGGCAGCCGTGGATTCCTTCGCCATGAAGAACTGCAGTTCAGGTAACAGAATATTTATTTTATTGTTTCTAGCTCATAGTACTTTGATGCTTTTTTGGAGAGAAGCACGATTTCTGACTGCTGCACACCCCACAGAAGGAAAGGTTCTTGTCAAATAAATAATTAACATTTTTTAAAAATTAAGTAGATCCTTTCAGGGAAGGATCTTTTTTAATGTTGCCTTAAAACTTCCCTTCAAGAAGTTAAAAACAAGTTTGTTGTTTTGGTTTGGGTTGCTTTGGTTTTTTTTTCATATGGAAAGAATAGCTATGAAAATTTAATTTTGGGAGACAAGAAGCAGTATTCATCCTGTCTTGCCAGATGCATATCCTGACAACTTCACTTTTCTGCAGCAGTAAGTAGAACAGATGAAGGGTTCCTAGATAGACATCTTGCAAACTATCTTTTTTTATGTTCATGGTTACAAATTTCGGGGTTGTTTTTTAAACAACTGTGGAAAACTTGATTCTAATAAAGCATGTCTTTCTTTGGCAACGTTCCAAAGCAGTTATTGCTGAGCAGCCCCTAATAGCTTCATGTAATGTGTGGAATTTTAATAATGGGCAACCTAAATGGGGGTTACTTTTTTAAATACAAGCTATGTAATCAATCCAAGTATGTAAATTCAGTGCTCTGTGCCAGAAGCAGCTGCATATTAGTTCTACCAGTTTTATGGACTCTGTGAATCATACTGAAATCTTTAGGTGGCATGTCAGTGAAGAATATTACTACTTATAGCTCTTAACACATTACTTTTTGTCCATTTTATTTATTTGGAGCAGTGCTGAGTTGAGCTGCATGTCCTTCTTTTCAACCTCTCTAGAACAGGGAAATGTGCTGCAGAACATACATTATTTTGGTCATTTACCTTGCTCTCCACAAAGGCCAGTTGTATTAAAGGATTTATTGTGCTGTTTGTACATAAAGGTGCTCTCTAAGCTCCAACAAGGAGCAGCCTGGCATTGTTCTGGAAGCAAAGGCATGTTCAGACAGTAGATGCTTGCTCTGCTGCTGGTGTAGGGACACAAGTCATCCACAGTGCTTTGGGAATTCAGTGCAACAGATTGTGGCACAGGAACTGCTCCCTTGGGAGCACTCAAGGGCGAGCCCGAGGTGCTGGGCTGTGAGTTCTTACCAATACCAAGCACTGTGTGCAGATGACAGATGTCAAGTGCTGAAGCAATTAAAATACGTTCTGAGCAAAAGAGGGAACAAATCTCCCATTTTGCCTGCAGATTTGTAGCAAACAGCTACTCCTCTGCCCTGCTTATAGGACACAGTGTAAGAACAATACCACCAGAGAGCAAAACCACTTGTTCTCTTATTTTCAGTTGGTTTGGGTCACTAAGCCTTTTGTGCACAGCTGCAGATGTGGCAGTGTACTTTTATGAGGAAAGAGGTGGTGATGAGCAGCTGAGGGTGACACCTTAAGCTTGGAGAAAATAGGGAAAGCAATAAGAAAAGATTAATCTAAATCTAATTTTTCTGCAGCTGTTAGAAGCCTTTGGGCAGCTTAGCTACTTGGATACCTTAATGCCACTGAAGCACATAAAACATGGGTAAATTTGAGAAAGAAACGTTTGAGAAATAGAAACACGCTTTCAGCCTGATTTTTCTAAGCCTTTTGAAGACCATAAACACAATTTTTAAATAAATTAAGGTGTACATACAATCATAGAAAGGTAGGCTACCATTTCATAGGCACAGATATAGAAAGAATCACAGAATGACAGAATATGCTGAGTTGGAAGGCGCCCATGAGGATCACTGATTCCAAATTTCAGCCCTGCACAGGGCACCCCAAGAGTCACAACGTGACTGAGAGCATTGTCCAAATCCTACTGGAACTCTGTCAACCTTGGTGCTGTGACACTGCCCTGGGGATCCTGTTCTGGTGCCCAACCACCCTCTGGGTGAAAAACAACAAGGGCTTGACGAAGGTCAAAGTTTGAGGTTGGAATTTGCTTTTGCATGTTGGTGAATCCATTTTTTTTTAATTCCTTAATCATAGAAAAGATTTTTCATAGAAAAAAAATTTCATCTGAACTGAAAAAATAACAGTTTATATGGGATTGTATGGGAAATTAAAATTAAGAACTTCAGTAGATTCTGATGCTGATAAAATTCTGAATTTTTAAAAAATTCAAGATTAAAAAATTCTAGTTAATTGCCACTTGATTATCTTCACATTTCCCAATTCCCATAATAGAAGGAAAGCTCTTACAGTTTTTTCTCAACCTTAGGGTTTGAATCGGATCAGAGAGCCCCTACAGTCAATACAAAGACTGCTGGTATTCTATATGTTTTGTCTCAGGACAGCTAACAGGTAGCATTGCCTGGACTGCTACAACCAATTGACTTTCAATTACTGACTAAAATGTGAAGCAAATTGTGTTTGTCAGTGTGTAAAACCTAAGCTATTGATTGCCTAATTCTCTTCTTTACAACTTACTACTTAAATAAGTGCTTTGGCAGTAGCCAAAGAAAAAAAAATGCAAATTGCAGAGAAGTAATGTATTAATTTAATAACAACAGTTAAGAAATTTGTTACTTATACAAGTAAAGTAATTGGTACAGTGGCATTTTATAGTTGATGGTAATTTCTAGTAATAAAAATAGAGTTCATTTCCTAAGTAATGTATTGACTTATTTATGATATTTAATGGGTTTCTTACTGATTTTTTATTGCAGTTGTAAATTAATTAATTTGCTAACTTATTTCCAAAAGTCTTAATTAAAGTACTTATTAGTAGACACAAGTAAATGACAAGACATTGTTTTGCTTAGCAATGTTTGATTTACCAATTCTAAGTAAATTTTTACCTAAAGGGTGTGGAGACCAAATGCTTCTGAAATGTCTTAAAGGTTTAATGATGCTCCAGGGCTGTTAAAAGAAGTTATTTCAGACACTCAGCCTGCCCAAGAGGAAGCACTTAGCTTTCAAGTTTTCAAGCTCAGTAAGCAACATAAAAACCATTTATTTTGGAGGGGGGAGAGACTATGTGCTGTTGATTAAGTTAATGCTTCTGTCCACTCAGCAATAGCCTTTTTTCAGAAGATACTGAAAGTACACAGAAACACACATTACCTTCGGAGCTGGTAGGCAGTTAGTTCTGTAATGATCTGAAGGCTGCAATATGTATGCAAATTTCTGAAATTTGGAGTTAAGGTTGTACTAAAGGCGAAATCCTTGATCTAAAGCACAGGACCTCTCATGAAAGGAAAAATTTTGAAGATCAGGAGATGATTTTACTGAAAGAAGAGGTAGCAAAGGAGGAGTAAAAATACAGACTTAAAACACATCTGAAGATATATGACCAACTTCCAGATAGAATTTTTCATTATTCCACTTGATAAATATTCTAGCAACGGATTTATGAATCAGCTGCAGGAGATCAATAAGAACTTTCTCCAGACAGGATTGCTTATGCATCTGAATCATTACTAAAATGATGTTTCTGTGCATTCGGACAAAACCTGGATATGTATCATTTCAGTTTTCCCACGTGCTCTCTTTTTGCAGTTTGTCTTGTAAATTAATTCAATGACAGGATGTTGTGGTTAACTGAACTTAATGAAATACCAGTGAGGCCCTTTTGAAAATGAGTTCTTGATGCTTCCTATTGGAAAATTGCATAGAAAAGTTAACCTCTTCCCAACAGAAAACTGAGATTATATCAGTGTATGAGAAATAATCACAGAACAGGCCAGGTGGAAGGAACCTCAAAAGGGAATCTGGCACAACTTTTTGTGTGAAAGGGAGTCTAGGTGAGATTTTCCAGGACCCTGACCAGCTGCATCATGAGAACTTCCAGTGATGGGGACTCTACCACATCCCTGGGGAGTTGCTCCAGCAACTGCATCTTCTCACTGTAAAAATAATCAAACATGCATTTCAAATTGAAGCCCCACATGGCACACAGATCATTTAGATGTTAATTACTTGAAAAAAATTGTATAACATTCAAGTAATTTTCAGTCAGGTAGAATTGCAAGATATTTACAGAAGTTTTATTAAACGACTAGATTAATTGTGACATGAGTTTATGTTTCATTATTTGCTTGGTTATATTTATGGAATGGAGGAGAGAAGGTATGAGCCTTTAGTAGAATCAACCATGTCATCTTTTGGGGTCTGGAGATCCACCTCTGTCCAGATATTCTGGGGAACAGGTGAATAGAATAATGAGCAGTCCGTATTTTGTCATTGTCACAAAACTGAATAATAAAAATGATTTTTTTAAAAAAAAAAAGTAGCCCTGATTTCAGAACTAGCTGTCTCTATCTGAGGTTTAGGATTAACATTTCCCATAATATTACTTGGCCGATCCAGGTAATTTTTGTGTAAAAGAAGCTGGATAATTTCCTTTGGCATTAATGCCATGGTTAAGAACCTTTCCAAGCCAGAGAAAAGGTCCAGAGCTAAGTGAAATCAGCAGGATTATTCAGTATGTTGGTATTATGTTGCTTCATTTAAAAAAATAAAATTAGGCAGATTTACTGCATTTTTCATTGAGTGGCCTATGATATTTATACAGTTCAACTGGTCTGGTTTTCCTGTGGGTGTAATTTCACTAAGTAGGCATTTGGAAAAGCCTTACTATTTTAAGAATATTTGCTTCCAAATGCTTTGGTGACCACCTTCTTCCCCATTCACCTCTGCTCCCTCATGAGCTATGATTGATTATTCTGACTTCAGCTTGTGTGCCAAAAACTATCTCCAACCTGCTTGTGCTTTAATCCTGTAGGGATCTTGTTTTGGAGAAAATACTGCTTTGCAGATGAGGGTGGTGACTGTAGTGAAGTTAAATCACTTTAAAGTCATTCTAAAGTGAAAGTTATTTCACTTGTGGTTTGTGCCAATTTAAGTAAAATAAATTTAATGAACTTGTTATGGGGCTTATCTTTGTTTTCACTTTCATCTTTTAAAAATGAAGTTATTGTAATGCTGGGAATAAAAAAATTAAGCAAATTTAGTTCTAATACTGTTTCCAGAAAAGGCA